CAACTGGCTTCATACAGGGAAACACTTTCATGAATCAGCCCAGTTAGAGGTTTCAGGACCACCCAAATTTTTCTGAGACATTTGTCTTCTCTGGGCTTCTATGTGTGTTTTTGACAGTCTTAATTTCCCTAGCAACTTATTGCTGTTCCCTCGCAGAAACCCATTAATCTCTGTGTCCCTCAGACCTCTCCCAGCAGAAGTGCAGATCTCTGCAGCTCTTATGTGCTGCAACAATCACTTCTGTTTCCTGCAGCTCCCAAACTATGCTACTGTTGTGGGAAGGGAGGGACCCTGAACAGAGGGACTGGCTGAAGCCATGGCAGAACATAAAGCCATAGTGAAGATTTCATAGATATTTATTAGTTCCCCAAATTAACACTTTTATAATTTCTTATGGCTGTCTTTACTGCAATCTCTGAACATAAATTGTGACGATTTCACAATTGTGAAGTGACACCTATCACTTCCCCAATCAATACCCTTGTGTTTTCCTATGCTTGTCTTTAATCTCTTAATCCCATCATCTCTTTTGTAAGCTGAGGAGGATGTATGTTGCCTCAGGACCCTGTGATAATTGCGTTAACTGCACAAATTGTTTGTAGAGCATGTGTGTTTGAACAATATGAAATCTGGGCACCTTGAAAAAAGAAAAGGATAACAGCAATGTTCAGGGAACAAGGGAGATAACCTTCAACTCTGACTGCCAGTGAGCTGGGCAGAACAGAGTCATATTTCTCTTCTTTCACAAGCAAAGAGGAGAAATATCGCAAAAGTCTTTTTCTCAGTCAGGAACATCCCTGAGAAAGAGAATGCGCCCCTGAGGGTAGGCCTCTGAAATGGCCGCTTTGGGGGCAGCTGTCTTTTACAGTCGAAGCCGAAGGGATGAAATAAGCCCTGGTCTCCTGTAGCGCTCCCAGGCTTATTAGGACGAGGAAATTCCCGCCTAATAAATTTTGCTCAGACCGGTTGTCTGCTCTCAAACCCTGTCTCTTGATAAGATGTTATCAATGAAAATGCGTGCCCGAAACTTCATTAGCAATTTTAATTTCGCCCTGTCCTGTGGTCCTGTGATCTAGCCTTGCCTCCATTTGCTTCGTGATATTTTATTACCTTGTGAAGCATGTGATCTCTGTGACCCATACCCTTATTCGTGCACTCCCTCCCCTTTTGAAAATCGCTGATAAAAACTTGCCAGCGTTTTACGGCTCAGGGAGCATCATGGAACCTGCCGACATGTGATGTCTTCCCTGGACACCCAGCTTTAAAATTTCTCTTTTGTACTCTTTCCATTTATTTCGTCAGACCAGCCGACGCTTAGGGAAATAGAAAAGAACCCACGTTGAATATCGGGGGTGGGGGTTTCCCCGATATGCTACCATTCCCTTCAGCACTCTGAGTGAGATGAGATGCAAACCAGTCCTGTGGGCAGACTTTGGATAAGCCAAAATATTGAACACGCAGTCCACTATTTCGTTTTTGTCCCAAGGGAGAAGGCAGGGGATAGGAAATTTCCTCCTGGTTGCACTGCACTATACTGGGAGGGGAACACACATGCAAAATGCCACAAACTTTTCCACTCCTTCTGAAGGAGTCCCTTCTTTTTAATGTTTTAGCCTGAGTGCTGTAGCTTCTCAACTGGTCTCTACAATTCTCACGAACATGTCCTTGTCATTACATTGAAATTAACTGGTGTTTCCATGAAGGAATAGGGCCTGAAACTACCTACTCCAACATATTGATGATGTTAGTCCTATAGCCTAATTTTACAATCATTAGTTATAACACATATTACCTTCCACCTCAGGTTGTACTGAATTTTTCTATCTCAGTTTCTTTGATAATAGCTCACCCTTATGTTACTGAATCACACAAGAAAATCAGTCTTATAAGGTATACCCAGTATATCAGATTTACTCCTCAATGGCTTTAGTTGTTTTTAAATATTAAATCCATCCTTAAACAAGTTATAACTGTGATCAAATATACAAAAAAACCCTGTCAGAAGTTTCCAAAGGTAATTTCTGAAGAGATTACTTTGCTAAAATATTTTGAGTTATACTAGTATTCTTAGAATAAATATAATGCCTGCCCAAGTGGTTAACAGAGTCCTATAACAAAAAAAAAAAAAGATTTTAAGATAAGGTTACATTATTTAAAATCACAAATTTTACATCTTCCTAAACAGATGTGAATACCTCCTTGTGATGCCCACACGTATTTAATTAATCTGGTACTACTTACTCTTCTATTATTATATTTAAAAGTTTATTTATACACCTTAAAATTGTTCTACCTTTATGAATATATAGTAATTAAGTTGAAAACAATATTTTAACTAAAAGGATCTAGGTTCAACAGAAACTATAAATCCTGAACATGTCAACAGACAACTTTTATTTAGAGACGTTAAAATGAATCCTGAGAAATACGTGTGCTAAATATTATTCTCTTATGTTATTAGACTAATATAAAAACACAGTATTACAAGATCGCGATTCCATTATTTTTCTTCAGACAGGGTCTCACTCTGTTGCCCAGGCTGGAGTACAGTGGTACAATCACAGCTCACTGCAGCCTCGACCTCCCCAGGTTTGGGTGATCTTCCCACCTCAGCCTCCGAGGGAACTGGGGTTACAGGCGCGTGCCACCACGCCTGGTTAATTTTTGTATTTTTTGTAGATATGGGGTACTGCCATGTTGCCAAAGCTGACCTCAAACTCCTAGGCTCAAGCTATCCTCCGACTTCAACCTCCCAAAGGGCAAGGATTACAGGTATGAGACACCGTGCCCAGCCCTCATCTAGTTCTAACAAATAAAATTTCTCTGCAGAACTTTAATACTGCAGGCCTTCCTAATTAGCAGTTACTTCTAAAATAAGGCTAGATTTAGCGAAATAATTGATGTAGGTGCTAAGAGACAGAATTCTAAACAAAGGTGTATTTGTGTTCTATTGCTGCCATAACAAATACCACAAACTTAACATTTAAACAACACAAATTCATTATTTTACACTTTTGTAGGTTCAAAAGTCTAATACGGGTCTCAGCCAGCCAAAATCAATGTATATTCAGAGCTGTGTTCCTTTCCGGAGGCTAAGGGAGGATTCATTTCCTTACTTATTCAAGTTGCATGCAGAATCCAGTTTGCTGCAGTTAGAGCACTGAGATTTGTATGTCCTTTGTGACTGTCAGCAGAGGGCAATTCCCAGCTTCTAGAAGGTATCTGATGGCCGGGCACGGTGGCTCACACCAGTAATCCCAGGACTTTGGGAGGCCAAGGTGGGCAGATCACAAGGTCAAGAGTTTGAGACTATCCTGGCTGACACAGTGAAAACCCGTCTCTACTAAAAATACAAAAATTAGCTGAGTGTGGTGGTGCACACCTGTAGTCCCAGCTACTTGGGAGACTGAGGCAGGAGAATCACTTGAACCCGGGAGGCAGAGGTTGCAGTGAGCCAAGATGGCACCACTGCACTACAGCCTGGCGACAGAGTAAAACTCCATCTCAAAAAAAATAAATAAATAAAGATTATCTGAATTCCATGTCTTATGGCCCTCTTTCTCCATCTTCAAAAGCCAGCAAGAGTGGGGTGAGTCTCTGGCCTACTCTTCTGAATCCTTCTGGTTTAAAGAGTTTATGTGATTACTAAGACCACTCACATAATCCTGGATAATCTCCCTATTTTAAGGTCAGCTGATTAGCAACTTTAATTCCCTTTTGCCATGTGCTATGGTTTGAACGTTTGTTTCCTCCAAAAGTCATGTTGAAACTTAATTCCCAATATGACAGTATTGATAAGTGGGGCCTTTAAGAAGTGACTGGGTCCGGGCACGGTGGCCCACATCTGTAATGACAACATTTTGGGAGGCCAAGGCAGGAGGAATGCTTGAAGCTAGGAGTTCAAGATCATCCTGTGCAACGAAGCGAGGTCTGATCTCTATACAAATTTTTAAAAAATTAGCTGGGCAGGCCGGGCGTGGTGGCTCAAGCCTGTAATTCCAGCACGTTGGGAGGCCGAGACGGGCGGATCACGAGGTCAGGAGATCGAGACCATCCTGGCTAACACAGTGAAACCCTGTCTCTACTAAAAAATACAAAAAAACTAGCCAGGCGAGGTGGCGGGCATCTGTAGTCCCAGCTATTTGGGAGGCTGAGGCAGGAGAATGGCGTAAACCCGGGAGGTGGAGCTTGCAGTAAGCTGAGATCCTACCACTGCATTCCAGCCTGGGCGACAGAGCGAGACTCCGTCTCAAAAGAAAAAAGAAAAAAATTAGCTGGGCAAAGTGGTATATACCTGTAGTCCCTACTCAAAGGGACGAGGCAGGAAGACTGCTTGAGGCTAGGAGTTTGGGGGCTGCAGTAAGCAATGACTGGGCCACTGCACTCCAGCCTAGGTGACACGAAAGCTTTTTAAAAAAAAGGTGACCGGGTTATGAGGGATGCCCTCATGAAAGGACTAATTCATCCAAGGGTTAATGGATTATCATGGGAATTGGACTGGTGGCTTTATAAAAGGGAGAGAGACCTTAGCTAGCACACTCAGCCCCCAGCCATGTGATACCCTGCATCACCTCTGGACTCTGCAGGAGACCAGGAAGAAAGGCCTCATCAGAGGCAGCCCCTCAAATTTGTTCGTTTTTTTTTCTTTTGAAACAATCTTGCTCTGTTGCCCAGGATGGAGTGCAGTGGTGCAATATCAGCTCACTGCAACCTCCACCTCCCAGATTCAAGCGTTTCTCCTGCTTCAGCCTCCCAAGTAACTGAGATTACAGGCACATGCCATGATGCCCACCTATTTTTTGTATTTTTAGTAGAGACAGGGTTGCCCATTGCACCATGTTGCCCAGGCTGGTCTCGAACTCCCGACCTCAGGTGAACGGCCCACCTTGAACTCCCAAAGTGCTGGGATTACAGGCATGAGCCACCGTGCCTGGCCCTGGCTTTTCCCTTTTTTAATCTTCATATATTCTGAGTCACATATTTCAAATTAAAAAACAAACCTTTACACACTTCTCCTGAATATCATTTCTCTGGGAAGCGAATTTGAGTTGTGGTTTTTTACCATCCATTCCAGATTCTTCATGTTTCACTTTGCTAAGATGATGATCCGAAATCCAGTCCATGAAGACAGTTAAAAGTTCATAAACTTGCCCATTAAGTGGTACCTATATGTCAAAAATTAAATCATTCATTTCAGTTCACAACTTCATAAAACTTCAAAGACAAGTCTTAAATTTGGTAAATAATTAAAGAATAATTTGACTAAAGTAATTCACTAAAATGTGTTAAGGACAGAGCTTCTCCAAACAAAAGAAATTCAAAATCAAAGTTTCCCAACTTGCCTGGTGCTGTGGCTCAAGCCTGCAATCCCAGCACTTTGGGAGGCTGAGGTGCGTGGATCACCTGAAGTTCCCTAGAAGTTCGAGACCAGCCTGGCCAACATGGCGAAACCTGTCTTTACTAAAAATACAAAAATTAGCTGGGCATGGTGGTACATGCCTGTAATCCCAGTTACTTGGAAGGCTGGGGCAGGAGAATCACTTGAATCCAGGAGGTGGAGGCTGCAGTGAGCCGAGATTGCACCACTGCACACCGGTCTGGGAAAAAGAGCAAGACTCTATCTCAAAAAAGAAAAAACAATAACAAAAAAAACCAAACAAACACAAAAACCTCCCCATCTAATATTAAAAACATGTTAAATGATGACTGAGAGAAGGCAAGAAAAGTCATCATAATTAGGAAGTTAAAATAACTTGCACCTTATTACTAAAAGAAAACTTTTCATAAAAATTCTTTATCCAAGTTTGATAAGATGGAAGAAAAGGAAAATTAGCCTTAACTCAAGAGCATGAACCTACCACAATTAAAAGACTAAAAAAAATTAAAGGTTTCCAGAGCTAAAGAATTTCCACTATGAAACTTCCTATCTTTTTATTCTCACAAAAATTGTTACTTTGTCTTTCCAGTATATCATTCAATACACATATGAACTTTTTTCCCCGAGAAATCTTGTCCTCTGAGAGTCTACCAAAATGAAAAGTAAAATAACAAAGTAATTTATAAATTTAATTAGACTAATTTTAAGTATTATTACAAAACACATTTCTAATTTAATTCAATTTTTTAAAAATAAGATACCACTACATATATCCACCTTAAGCAGGGAACTATGTTAAATTTATTTATTTTTTTAATCTGCAGGCCAGGCATGGTGGCTCACGCCTATAATCCCAGCACTTTGGGAGGCAGAGGCAGCTGGATCACCTGAGGTCAGGAGATCGAGACCAGCCTAGCCAACATGGTGAAACCCTGTCTCTACTAAAAATACAAAAAATAGCCAGGTGTGGTGGTGGGTGCCTGTAATCCCATTTCTTCAGGAGGCTTGAACCCAGAAGGCAGAGGCTGCAGTGAGCCAAGGCTGTGCTACTGCACTCCAGCCTGGGTGACAGAGTGAGACCCCCATCTCAAAAAAAAAATAAAATTAAAAATATTAATAAATTAAAAAATAAAAAAACAAAAAAATTCAAAGACAGAGAAATATAAAAGCAAATTAATAAAAAGGCAACATTAAGTCAATGGCAATCCACAAAATCAGAATGAATAAAGACAAAATGATAAATAGTAGCATTAGTGCATTATTCTGAAGAGCAATTTTTCACTTTCTCAATTTTTTTCAAATAGAAACTAACTCCCTTTAGATGAAAACTTCAATTATCTTCAATCCCTGAATATAAAATCTGTACCTTTTCAATTTACTCCAATTTTCTCAATTTATAAAGAACTAGAAAATTTATCAAAATATCTGAATGATCAAAGCCCATAATAAGATACTACTACACACCCACTGGAAGGGTCAAAATGAACAAAACTGAAAACACCAAATGTTGACAAGGTTGTGGAGCAACCAAAACTTTGATACACTGTTAATGGGAGTATAAAACAGTACAACCAATTTGGAAAACTGTCAGTTTCTTAAAAACATACATCTACCTTTATCTACTTTATGACCCAGAGATTGTAGTCCTGGTATATACCCAAAACAAATGAAAACATATATCCATAAAAACCCTGCACATCAATATTCGTAGCAGCTTTATTTATTGCAGACAAAAACTAGAAAAAGCCCAGGTGTCTATCAACAGAAGAATGAAGGAACAAACTCTGATACATTAATACAATGAAAAACTACTGAGCAATAGTAGGGAACAAACTAGTGATACACTCATAATTATGCTGACAAAAGCCTTACACAAACAAGTACACACAACACAATTCCACTGACCAAATGTCTCACACAGGCAAAACTAATTTCTGCAAAACTTCTGGCAGAAAAGAAGGACCAGGAAAGGACATGAGAGAACTTCCTAAGATAGTTGAAAGTTCTATATTCTAGTACAGTGGAAATATTCTACATTTGGTTGTAGGCAACATAAATATTTATCAAAATTAATCAAACTTTACGCTACAGGATTTGTGCGTTATGTTACCACATGTAATTTATATCTCAAATTTTACAAATTCTTAGGGAAAAAAAGATACATGGAAATCCATTCAGGGATGGGTTGCAGTCTTGACTGAAAAATAGCAAATGCTTGTGGAGTGTCAAAACATACTAAGCAATAAAGCCACAAATGAAGTGTCAATGATACTGTACCTGAAACACTGCCAAAATATAATAGTTTTTGCAAATGAAAGTATATTTTAAATATTCTTGAGATATTTCCCTATTAAGAAAGTATTATGGTGAATCCTTTCTCTTTTCAAAGAGAAAAGATTAAAGCACAAGAGAAATCTTCCTGGCTTTCCATTGGAGAAATTTTCAATCATATCATACCTTGTAAGTTTTTGAAACTGGTGCTTTTTCTTGTTTTAAACTTTTCATTTCATGAACAGCATGGGAACTTCCTTTCAATCTCTGTATTGTCATAAACTCGTACTTCCTCTGCAACAGTACATATGCATGAATTAAAGGACAACTGTATCAAAATGAGTAAACTCAAAGGCAATCATCTAAAAATATACTTATGTCTGTAAAGAACAGGCAACTTACCTGTAAATTATCTAAACGAGCTTGAACTCTTTTCGCCTGAATGTCCATCTTCCTGTTTTCCTCACTTGCTTCATTCAACTAAAGGGTAGAAAAAGTTAGATATTTCAATCTAAACCTTCAACTGGTTTCATACTAAAGGTTCTCAATCTACTTTTCCCTAAAATATTAATGATTCGTAAGATAATGTACTTTATCTTATGAAAAATGTACAAGACACCAGATGTCTTAAAAGCATATACATATATTTTAGTGGAAAATGCTTTTATTAATAAGTAAATTGTTATTAGAACTATAACATATATAAAGAAAAGTATAAAATCCTAAGTATGCAGTATAATGAGCTATAACTGGGATTGCATTACTGGGATTATGTGTGTGTGTGTGTGTGTGTGCATATACTGATATGTATATGTATGGAAGAACTGACATATTTACCATATTGAGTCTTCCTATACATGAACATATCTTCAATTTATTTAGGTTTTATTTTCTTTTAATAATGTTTTGTAGTTTTCAGTAGTGATGTCTTGCACATCTCCCTTTAGATTTACTCCTGGGTATCCAATTACTTTTTTATGTTACTTATGGTATCTTACAATAAAATTTATGATATATATACACCATGAATAGAATACTATGTGGCCATAGAAAAGAATGAAATCATGTCTTTTGCAGCAACATGGATGGAGTTGGAGGTCATTAATCCTAAGTGAAATAACTTAGAAACAGAAAATTAAATACTGTATGTTCTCACTTATAAGTCAAAGATAAACAACGGGTACACACATACGGACATAAACATGGAAATAACAGATACTGGGGACTCCAAAAGGGAAAGGGGGAGAAGGGTAGGTGTGGAAAATTAACCTATTGGGTACAATGTTCACTATTTGAGTGAAGAGTACATTTTAGAAGCCCAGACCTCACTGTTAGACAATATATCCACGTAACAAAGCTGCACATGTACCCTCTGAATCTAAAATAATTTTCTTAAAAAATGAAAAGTAGCTTTTTGAAAAAATAAAAAAACAAACAAACCGTGAGCTAGACTAAGAAAAAAAGAAGAGGTTGAGTGCAGTAGCTCACACCTGTAATCCCAGCACTTTGGGAGGGTGAGGCAGGAGGATCACTTGAGCCCAGTTCAACACCAGCCTCAGCAACACAGTAAGACCTCATCTCTACAACAAAATTTAAAAATTAACCAGAGGTGGTGGCGCATGCCTGCAGTCCCAGCTACTAAGCAGGCTGAGGTAGAAGGGTGGTTTAAGTCCTGGAGGTTAAGGTTACAGCAAGCCGTGGTGATGCCACTGCACTTCAGCCTGGGAAACAGATGGAGACAGTCAAAACAAAAAAAAACATAGAGAAAGAAAGAAAAGGAAGAGAAGAAATAGTACCAAGAGAAGGAAGGGAAGAAAAGAGAAAAGGAAAGCAGGGGGAGGGGAGGGGAGGAAGGGAAGAAGAAGAAAGAAAAATAAGAAAAGAAAAAAGGAGAAAAAACCCAAATAGATAAAATCGGAAACAAAAAAGGAGACATTACAAGTGGTACCACAGAAATACAAGGATCACTAGAGACTACAGAGATCATTATGAAAGAACTATATGCCAACAAACTGGAAAACCCAGAGGAAATGGATAAATTCCTAGGCACATAAAACCTACCAAGACTGAATCAAGAATAGAAAACTAGAACAGACCAATAACAAGTAACAAGACTGAATAGTGGTCAAAAGTTTCCCAGCAAAGTAAAGCCCAAACTAAATGGCTTCACTGCTGAACTGTACTTTTAAATTCACTAAATGGTTTCACTGCTGAATTCAAACTTTTAAAGAACAAATACCAATTCTTCTCAGACTATCCCAAAAACCTCAAGGGTAGAGAATTCTTCCAAACTCATTATACAAAGCCAGCATTACCCTGATACCAAAACCAAACCAAGACACAACAAGAAAACTCCAGGCCAATAGTCCTGATGAACATAGATGCTAAAATCCTCAACAAAATATTAGCAAACCAAATTCAACAACACACCAAAAAGATAATATACCATAACCAAGTGAGATTTATCCCAGGGAAACAAGGAAGGCTCAAATATGCAAATAAAAAAATGTGATATATCACGTTTTAACAGAATAACAATGAAGTATAAAAACCTTACGATCACTTCAATAGACACAGAAAAAGTATGATAAAATTCAACATCTCTTCACAGTAAAAACTCTCAACAAATTAGGTACAGAAGGAATGTACTTCAACACACTAAAAGCTATGTGTAACAAACCCACAATTAACATCTTACTGAACAGGGAAAAGCTGAAAATTTTTCCCCTAAGAACTAGAACAAGATAAGGATGCCCATTCTCACCACTCTTGTTCAACATGGTACTAGAAGTACTAGCCAGAGTAATTAAGTAAGAAAAAGAAATAAAAGACATCCAAATTGGAAATAACAGGCTGGATGTGGTGACTCATGCCTGTAATCCCAGCAATATGGGAGGCTGAGGCAGGCAGATCACCTGAGGCCAGGAGTTCAAGACCAGCCTGGCCAACACAGCAAAACCCCGTCTCTACTAAAAATACAAAAATTAGCCAGATGTGGTGGCGCATGCCTGTAATCTCAGCTACTCAAGAGGCTGAGGCAGGAGAATGGTGTGAACTCAGGAGGCGGATGTTGCAGTGAGCAGATATCGTGCCACTGTACTCCAGCCTGGGCGACAGAGCGCGACTCCATCTCAAAAAAACAAACAAAAAACAAATTGGAAATAAGTCAACCTGTCCTTCTTTGCAGACGACATGATCTTCAATGCAAAGAAACTGACAGGCTCCACCAAAAATTTCTTAGAACTGATAAATTCAGTAAAGTTGAAGGACACAAAATCAACATACAAAAATCAGTAGCATTTCCAAACACTAACAACAAACTAACTGAAAAAGAAATAAAGAAATCTATCCTGTTTACAATGGCTACAAAAATAAAATAAAATACCTGGGAATAAATGTAATCAAGGAAGTGAAAGATTTCCACAATGAAAACTATAAAACACTGATGAATGAAATTGAAGATCACACACACAAAAAGAAAAGATATTTCATATTCATGGACTGGAACAATTAATACTGTCAAAATAACCAAAGTCATCTATAGATTCAACATAATGTCTATTAAAATACCAACAACATGCTTCACAGAAATAGAAAAAAATCCTAAAATGTGTATGAAATCATGAAAGACCCAAATAAGCAAAAGCAATCCTGTGTGAAAACAACAAACCCAGAGGCATCACACTAAACTCAAAATACACTACAAAATTGTAGTAACCAGAACAGCATAGTACTGGCATAAAAATAGACACATAGACTAATGGAACAGCATAGAGAACTCAGAAATAAATCCACACATTTATGGCCAACTGATTTTCTACAAAGGTGCCATGAACATTAATAAGGGAGATGACAGTCTCCTCAACAAATGGTGCTGGGAAATGGATATCCATATGCCTAAGAATAAAACTAGACCCCATCTCTCATCACAGACAAAAATCAACCCAAAATGAATTAAAGACTTTGAAATATAAGACCCAAAACTATGAAACTACTAGAGGAAAAAGTGGGAAATAGTTCAGGACACTCGCCTGGGCAAAGATATTATGGATAAGACCTCAAAAGCACAAGCAACAAAAGCAAAAACAGACAATTGAGTTTGGAAACAATAAAAAGAAAAATGATACAACCTGCAGAATAGGAGAAAATATACGCAAACTATTCATCCAACAAGGATGAAAATCCAGACAATACAACGAACTCAATAGCAAAAAAAAAAAATCCAAATAAAAAAATGGGTAAATAATCTGAAGAGACATTTCTCAAACAAAGGCATACAAACAGTCAACAGGTATATGAAAAAATGCTCAGTATCACTAATCATCAGGTTAATGCAAATCGAAACCATGATCAGGTATCAATCTCATCCCAGTTAGAATGGTTATGAAGAAGACAAAAAGTAATAAACGCTGGTGATGATGTGGAGAAGGAAAACTCTCTTACATTGTTGGTGGGAATATAAATTAGCACAGCATTATGAAAAACAGTATTCAGGTTCCCCAAAAAACTAGAATCAGAACTACCATATGATCCTGCAATACCACTTCTGGGTATATATTCACAGGAAAGAAAATCAGTATATTGAAGAGATATCTGCACTCCCATGTTTACTGCAGTAGTAGGTGCAATAGCCAAAGTATGGAAAGTTGCTAACCCATGTGTCCATCAATAGATAAATTTATAGAGAAAATGTAGTGTATACATAAACAATGAAATACTATTCAGCTATGAAAAAGAACAAAATCTTGTTATTTGCTGCAACATGGATGAGCCTGAAAGACCTTACGTTAAGTGAAATAAGTCAAGCACAGAACGATAAATACCACATGTTCTTACTCATGTGGAAGCTAAAAAACAAGTTGATCTCACGGAAGTACAGAATATAATATTGGTTATTAGAGGTTGCAAAGGCTGTGGAAAGGAAGGAATGGAGAGAAGTTGGTTAACAGACACAAAATTAGAACTGGATGGGGGGCCGGGTGCAGTGGCTCAGGCCTGTAATCCAAGCACTTTGGGAAGCCGAGAAGCAGGTGGATCACTTGAAGCCAGGCATTTGAGACCACCCTGGCCAACATGGTGAAACCCCATCTCTACTAAAAACACAAAAATTAGCCGGGTGTGGTGGTGGGTGCCTGAAATCCCAGATACTTGGGAGGCTGAGGCAGGAGAATCACTTGAGTTCAGGAGGTAGAGGCTGCAGTGAGCCGAGATCAAGTCACTGCACTCCTGCCTGGGCAACAGAGTGAGACTCATCTCAAACAAAACAAAACAAAACAAAACAAAAAGAAGAACTAGATAGGAGGAGTAAGTTCTAGCTTTACAGCACTACAGGGTAACTACAATCAAGAATTTATGGTATATTTTCTAATAGAAAAAGAGAGGATTTTGAATATTTCCAATACAAAGAAATGATGAATGTTGAGTAGACGGATTTGCTAATTACTCTGATTGATCATTACACATTACTGTATCGAATATCACTGTACCCCATAATTATGCACAATTATGTCAATTAAAAATAATTTTAAAGCCCCATTTGATGGAATTCTTAAATTCAACTGATGTGTTTTTTAGTTTTCAAATTTCAATTTAATTCCTTTCCACAGACTTACTATATAGGCAAAAATGTACCTATGCTAGGAATTCTCTAATGAAGCTGTCAATCTATTTTTCTACTTTCTTGAATATATTAATCATTATTTTAAAGTCATTGCCTGTTAAATGTGGATCACTTGCAAGTACGCTTATATTCTCTGGGGTTTTCTTCTTCATTTTGAGTTATGCAATTCTGTCTTTTGATATGCTTATTCATTTTGTATAGAATGAAAGACATATTTTCCTCTGCTAGGCATTTAAACTGAGGAGTAAGCACCTTAATCTGATCAGGAACTGCACTTAATCAAGGCCAGGTTTCAATTTAGGAAAGTTCTGTCTCCCTCTAATTCACCCTGTCCCTGCTCCTTTCAACTGAGATCTGGGGGTGTTCACTGGGACTATCTCCCCATGATGAGGCTTGAACATTAATCCTTGCCTCCTCAGTTCGGCTAGACTTAACGAGAAATGCTTTTAAATTATTAGAAAATGTATATCCAGTGTTAGCATAAATTACTGTGTAAGTCAGTCACAGAAATAACATATCTTTTTCTTCAGCAATTTCAAAGTACATGTCATTCATCTGGCCAGGAGCTGGCTAAATATGCCCATTGCTTGTTTTCTTAAATACAGTCGTTTTGGAACACAGCCACACTCATTCACTTATTGCCTATGGCTGTTTTTGCATTATGATGGCAGAGCTGGGTCACTGAAAGAGAGACCACATGGCCTACAAAGCCCAAAATACTTACTATCTAGTCCTTAACAGAAAAAGTGTGCTGACCTCTGATCTATTCTTAGCAAAGAAACCATAAAAAAGCATTCTGCCAAATTTTTTCAGTTTGTACACATTAGCTCATAAATCCAATTACCAATAGGTCCACATATTTAATAATCCACATACCCACCCCAATTACCACACATGCATGCAACCACATGCAAAATTATTAAGGATTACAGAAACCTAAGAGATGGGTATGGGCAACAGTTTATCTAGCTAGGAATTTTTTAAATCCTCACGAGAGAGTGGTAGAATGAGACTGTAATGAGAAAAAGTGATCTCTCCAGGGATAAAGCGGGATTCCAAACAGACAACAGGCCATCAGATTCATAGTCCAATAGTAACAGTCATAAATGAACTGAGGAAAGCCAAAGAATTAGAATCAGGTGAGAAACAGGGCACCTATGTATCACTGCCAAGGAGGAGGATCACAACAAGTAGAGATTAAAGGGAAACAAAAGCAGAAACAGAAAAGGACAGCTGGCAAAGGAACTCCAGGAGAGTCTGAGGCTTAAGTTACATTTTATAATCCGTACAGATTCCCAGCCCAATGCTTTCATTTTCAAAGTGACGGGGTTTACTCCAGTTTCTGCTCCAACATCTACTCCCCACACAATCTAAAAAATACATAATCATTCTTTTGTCTCTCTTTAACATACTCCTTTACTTTCACATCTTTCTGCCAAAAACTGGCAGAGGGAAGGAAAAAAATAGACATAACTCACAAAAATATTTATGTTATGCAACTTTGGTATTATGTATTAATCTAAATTACAATGCTTTTTTTTTAATTTTTTTTTTTTTTTTTGAGATGGAGTCTCCTTCTGTCGCCCAGGCTGGAGTGCAGTGGCACGATCTCGGCTCACTGAAAGCTCCGCCTCCTGGGTTCACGCCATTCTCCTGCCTCAGCCTACCGAGTAGCTGGGACTACAGGCGCCTGCCACCTCGCCCAACTAATTTTTTTTGTATTTTTAGTAGAGACGGGGTTTCACTGTGTTAGCCAGGATGGTCTCGATCTCCTGACCTCGTGATCCACCTGTCTTGGCCTCCCAAAGTGCTGGGATTACATGCGTGAGCCACCGTGCCCGGCCTACAATACTTATTTATAAGTATACTGCAATGTGATACCAGTTTATAACCATGAGAACACGAGCAACGTGAAGGTCTGAGTCTAGCACGATGCCTAGGATATAACAGACACTCAAAAATAAATGAATGTTAAATAAGTAGTGATAAATAATAAGTAATAAAGCCAGAGATCAGTACCTAAAAATGTAATTACTTCTCAGGTTATCAGGTTTTTTTCTTTTGCTTGTCTTTTTTTCCTTTGCCTGTCAGTTGGTTGTAGAACAAATAAAGAAAGAAACCAAAGAGTTGAAGAATATTTTATTTACATTTGGAAGTATTTTAAAATAAAGCTAACAAATGTAATCCAAATTTTCTCTAGCCGAAACGTGTTCTAAGGCTGACTTTAATTTGTTGTATATAAAATATGGTTCTTAGAATGTCTTAAGTCCAATATATATTAAAACAGGCCTTACCTGTTTTTTTAAGGTATCATTCAATTCTTTCAATGCATCAAAAGAGGACCTCAGTCTCTTGGTTTCTTTATTCTTTTCCTTAAGAACTTCAGTTAAGTGTTCAACTTCTGCATCATGTTGCTGGGAGGAGAAAAAAAAAAACTCTGACCTAAAACTTGTAAGGATTGTATATCACTAATACTATGGAACACGAATTAATTACAAGTAAGAACTCCTTCAATCACAAAACCTTTAATCAGCATATTTAAGCACAAGTGACTAGTGTGGCAAATAATTTATAAAAACCATGCAATCTACCAAGATAACAACAAAACATCAAAGGCATTTACAACATACTTATTAAAACATATTAGCATTTACAAAGTAGCAGTAAGTCTATTTTCTGCTTCTGCTCAGAAAAATCCACTCACACAAACTCACAGAAATATTTTGTTTGACATCATGGAATAATAAAACAATAAAGAATTTCTGATATTCTTCAAGAGATGAGTAAGCTATTTATGGCTTTATAAAGTGTATAATTTACATTACCCTTGAGAAATAAATCTTTTATAAAACCAACTAATTTCTTGTCCTCATAAAGCAGCTAAAATTTTTGATGCCTGCTTTTCATCTCAAAACATGTTAAATACATAATACAATTTCTGAGCCCCAAACTATTTGACTCTTCTTAATCAGTTTTAAAAATAACTCAGATCAACTTTCCCTCTAATTACATTTAAATGGGATAGCATGTTTTAGATTTTAAATGTGAACACTTAATAGTTTCACCTTTCACTCTCAACCTACTCACAGTTTTAAAACAAGTCTCTACGGGAAATAAAAAAATTGAATTAATTCCCTTCTTCCAAGTAATGATATAAATATGATGAAAATAAGGCAATTATCTTTATACTTAATAAAACAGATACACAAATCTAAACAGAGAGAATCAAGAACAAGACTAAAATGGAGAGATCAGAGAATCTAAGCATTCTTTAGCCCTGTGAAAAAAACCCAATATTCTAAGAAGTTAATCTTTGTATGATTTTACTATATTAATTCCTTTAATAACTTAGGATATAGTCACAAATAGTTATTTTTAAAACTAATATTTTCATTGTCCAACTTTTTCCATATCTAAAAGATATAAAAACATACGCATTCCATTTCTGGCACAGCAGGATAAGCTCAATACAGTCTTCTCCCACTGATTACAGCGAAAAGCCCTAATTAAAACATACAACAACTAACTGACAACTGTGAACAGAAAAAAGGGGAGGACATTGTGATGGGAGCGAAAACTTGTAGAAGCAACTCTCAAGGGTAAAGTTTCCTGCATTTTTGTTTTTCCTCTTCTGTCAACATTTTGCCTCAGGGTGGGTCAAAAACTTCCACTAGCTGGGCACAGTGGTACACATCTATAGTCCCAGCCACTCAGGAGGCTGAGGGACGAAGATGACTTGAGGGTGCAGTGAGCTATGATGACGTCTGTGAATAGCCACTGCACTCCAGCCTGGGCAACACAGTGACTCTGTCTCTGCAACAATTAAAAAAAAATTTTTTTTTTTACATTTCCACTAAAGCTCTAAAAAATGTCCACTAAAGAATGAGAGAAAACCAGTCTTCCTGCAGGAAAATCAGGAAGAGGGGCCCCGACGAGCCAGAGTGTAGGGAGAATCCCGCAGAAGAGAGACTCAAAGAGGATCCTCTCGCTCTGGTGTTTACGAACCTGCACAAATTGGGCTCACCTTTGAGCCGCTCAGGCACAAGACAGACCAAAAGCAGTAGAGCAAACACTTGGAGAATGGAGCTCAGTTTAAAACCATTACCTAAGTCTTGGCTAACACTTCAATGCCTCTTTACCTGCACAAAAAAGACCCAGAGCACCACAGCAAAAGCTTTGAGAAATGCATCAGGATTTTAAACTGTTACCCAAGTCTCAGACTGACCTTTAAGAGGCACAGGCACAAGACAACTCCACAGCAACACTGCAAAGGCTTTGAAAGCTGAACTGAGATGAAAGCCACTGCCCAGAGGAGGTGAGAAAAAACTGAGGCCTGGCCAGGCACACCTGTGATTCCAGCAGTTTGGCAGGCCAAGGCAGGTGGATTGCTTGAGGTCAGGAGTTCAAGACCAGCCTGACCAACATGGTGAAACCCCATCTCTACTAAAAATACAAAAAAATTAGCCGGGCATGGTGGTGGGCGCCTGTATTCCCAGCTACTCAGGAGGCTGAGGTAGGAGAATCGCTTGAACCCAGGAAGTGGAGGTTGCAGTTAGCTGAGATCGCACCACTGTACTCCAGCCTGGACAACAGAGCAAGACTATCTCAAAAAAAAAAAAAAAAAAAAAAAGGGAGGCCTAAATCTAATTGGGCTGAATGCTTTAAAATCAACATTCTCCAGAGGGTAACAATAGAACCCAAAATCTATACATTAACCAGAAGATCTTGAATATACCCTAAAAATCACCGAACATACCAAGAACCAAAGAATGTGACTAAGCCTCAAGAAAAAAGACAATCAACAGATCCCAATCTCGAGATGATACAGGTGATACATAGTTTTTAAACTATGCTTCATGAGGTAAAAGTAAATATATATAAACGTAAATATAAACACAGAAATGCTTATGAGAAAAACAAAAATAAATGCTTTAAACAACTTGAAATTTTAGAATGTTTAAATATCAAAAATAAAAATTTCACTAGATGGGCTTAATAGCAACATGGAGATTAAAAAAGAAGTAATGAACTTTAAGATGGATCAAGAAATTATCTGAAGAACACTGAATAAAGCAATGGGAAAAAAGGAATGGAACCTCAGAAATCTCTGGGGAAACAGCACAAGGAGTCACTGGAGATCCAGGAGGAGACAAGAAAGAAAGTGGAAAAAATATTTCATGAAATATTGGCTGAAGATTCCCCAAATTTGGCAAAAGACAGACATTTCCAAATTCAAGCTCAGTTAACCACAAACAGAACAAACTGAAAGAAAACTATGTCAAGAAACACTGTAAATAAACTGCTACTCAAAACCAAAGACAAAGAAAAATCATAAAATGATGCTATTAACATGACACTCTGGAAAAGGTGGATGTACTGGGGGTGGGAAATAGGTCAGTGGTTGCCAGGGGCTGAGGCTGGAGGAAAGGGATAGCTACAAGAGAGCGTAAGGGAACTGCTGGTGAGCTGAACTATTCTTGATCTTGATGATGGTTGTGATTACAAAACTGTATGCATTTTTCAAAACTCACAGAAATGTACAACAGACAATGAATTTTACTCCAAGTAAGTCATATGTACAGTAATGTATGTCTTGATATGACGCAAGGTATATTATCCCACTTATATAATATCCTTGTCAAAAATATTTTATCGTTAGGAAGCAATCAGGAAAATCCACAATGTGACATATAAGACTTCTGGCCTGAACTCTTCGAAGAAAAAGCTCACGAAAAACAAAAAAGCTGAGGTTAAGTGCTCTAGATTCATAGAAACCAAAAAAGATATAACAACCAAATGTAACGCACGAATCTTGTCTAGTTCCTTGATCAAACAAATGACCCACCCCTACAAACAATAAAAGACATACTGAAGACCAACTGAAAAAGTAAATATGGACTATAAATAAGTTATTTAGTTAGCATTAATTTCCTGATATGCTAATGGTCTGGAGAATGTCTTTATTCTTAAGAGATACTTACTGAGGTACTTAGTGACAGAACCATGATTTTTACAAACTGCTTTCATATGGATCAGAAAAAAGGGTGTGTGTGTGTGTGTGTGTGTGTGTGTGTAGGTGAGGAGGAGGAAGGGAAGGAGAAATAAGCAAATGTGGCAAAATGTTAGTAACTAGTGAATCTAAGAAGAAAAGAAGAAATATACCACTCTAACATCAAAGGCTATATAGTTACCTCTTTCATAATTTGAAATCTTGTAAGAACCTCTTCTTCCACACCTTTAATTTTACTCAAGGCATTTTCATGTCTGAAAAGCAGTTGTTCTCTTTCGAGTAAAAAACTTTCTCGCTTTTGAAGTTCTTCAGCAAACTTCTGTTGTGCTGCAGTTTCACACTGTATCAAAATGGCAGATTTTAATGCTCTTGAAAAGTCACAAATTCTGCAAATTCTATTCCTATTGGCTAACATTGTGGTTTAACCAAGTGGTTTTCAGGAACACAGGGGTACCTAAGGACAATCTGGATTATAGTAGCTAGACTAGCATAGCAAGTAAACTTGTACAGAAATTATATCTTGATTTTAAATGATAACATACTATAGTAAGAGTCCACTGCGATGATGCAAGAGAATCTGGGGTCCAAAATGGATCAGTGCTACGCAGATTTAGTTCCCGATCCAGTTTAAATTCCATGCTCCACTTCCACATCACAGTCCACTATTTTACCTATGCCCTTTCCTCCCTCACCTTGTTGTCTATCACCTTGGACTGAAAGAACGAGGCCTGGATTAGCACACTGACCATCTTCCCTGGCCCCATGCTACTCAGTTCAGTACCACTGGAGAAAAAAAAAAAACAAATCACACACCATGAAAAGTGGCCCCAATGCAAATTCATGGTCTCAATCCTGTACTAGATTCTCAATGCAGTCCAAAAATCTTTTTATATGTTCACAGCCAGCTCTCTCTCCCTCACTCTCCAAAGTGTCTATTTTGAGCCTTCTCCATTCTATTAATTTGGAATACATCATGTCCTATATACCACTCTCTGTGAATAGCCTCGTCTCTAACTTCACAGGGAGAAAAACAGAAGACAAAGTCAAGTCCAAAGAGTCTACTTAACATCCCCACCAAGGTGACAGAGATATCTATTACCTCAAACATTTATTCTTTCTTTGTGTTGAGAACATTACAATTCTTCTTCTCTAGCTACTTTAAAATATACGATAAATTATCATTAACTATAATTTCCCTACTGTACTAGTAAACACTGAAACTTACGCCTATCTAACTGTATTTTTATACCCATTAACTAACCTCTCTTCACCCCTGCTACCCTTCCCCTCCCAGCCTCTGGTAACCACTATTCTAGCTCTATTTCTATGAGATCCATTTCTTTAGTTCCCACCCCACACGAGTGAGAACATGCAATGTCTGTCCTTCTGTGCCTGGCTTATTTCTCTTAATATAATGACCTCCAATTCTATCTATGCTGCAGTGAATGACAGGATTTCATTCTTTTATGGCTGAATAATACTCCACTGTGTATAGATACCACATTTTCTTTATCTGCCAATGGACACTTAGATTGACTCCATATTTTGGTTATTATGAACACAGTTGCAATGAACATGGGAGTGCAGGTATCTCTTCGATACACTGTTTTCTTTTTTGGGGGATATACCCAGCGATGGGATTGCTGGATCATACAGTAGTTCTATTTACAGTTTAAGGAACCTCCAAAGTGTTTTCCACAGTGGCTGTACTTACAAAGTAAACTTTAAAGTCAGATTAAACTATAGACTGATTAAACCAGTTAATCCACTGTACTTCATTTTTTTCTTATTAAACATCTTTATGTTTGCTACAAATGACAGATATATCCTTGCAATCTTGCCTATTCTTTTTTATCCTATAAAGTGTTACATCAAAGGAATCTTCCTAAAACCTGACTTTTTACTCTGACACTCCTTTCCCTAAAAACTTGTAAAATGCCTAGCCTGAGTTTTCATTATTTTCTTTCCTCCAGACAGGCTAATAAATGCACAATTGGACAATCACTGCTTTTCAGAACACCTCTCATTTCCAATTCCTTATACCTGGAATGACCTTCCCACTATTATCTTTCTCAGTCAAAGACCAGACTAAGTCTCTCCCTAAACTTTTCCTGGTGATTTTAGGCTAAAATAATCCTTTTCTAAAATGCTATGGTAATTACAATCTTAATTATTTTGACAAAACAAGATACTGGTTTTAAAGAAATGCTTAACTATTTCATGTGTTTCCAGTGGGAAGGATTTCAAACAGATGGTGTGCATTACATACACTTTTGCTTCCTTCTCTACTTCTCATGGATGCTTAATATATAAATTATACTCTTTAGGCTGGGCGCAGTGGCTCACGCCTGTAATCCCAGCACTCTGGGAGGCCAAGCGGGGGCAGATCACCTGACATCAGGAGTTCAAGACCAGCCTAGCCAACATGGTAAAACCCCAACTCTACTAAAAATACAAAAAACTGGCTGGACGGGGTGGCATGCACCTGTAATCCCAGCTACTCAGGAGGCTGAGGCAGGAGAATCACTGGAACCCAGGAGGCAGAGGTTGCAGTGAGCCAAGATCGCACCACTGCACTCCAGCCTGGATGACAGAACGAGACATCATTGGAAAAAAAAAAAAAAAGGGAAATACACTTTAGAAACAAAAAAACCCCAAAGGCAGATATAAGAAAATGTTAAGAGTTCAATTTTGATGAGAGTTGACAACAGGACTCTTCATATATAAGTACTTAAGACAATAAAGCTAGAGCATCTACTTCAAAAAGCATACTTTATCAGATTTTATTGCTGAAGTAAGGATGGGAAGGGAATCAAATAAAATACAAGACAGTCTAAAACACACACCTACAAATAAAAACGCCACTGTCTCTATTTTATCTCAGCCACTGTATTTTTCCCTTCCTTAGTCCCTATAATTTGAGTTTGTCCCCTTCTGTCCTTGTCTTGACAAACTTATCTAAAGTAATTAAAATGAAATATATTCAAATTTTGTAAGTGCTTGGTTCTTAGAACATAAATATTTCTGAATTCTCAATTCAGTACTTAGTTCTTACCTGCAGTTTCAGATGTATCTGAAATAATTCGTCATATATCTGACTGATCTGACGTGGAAGTAAACTCCGTTTGTCTGATGCTTTAGATTTTGGATAGCTGACAAGTTTCAAAGGAGAGTCACCTGCATCACTACAACACTCAGTCTGAGGTCTCCATGAGGTCGTATTAGTTGGCAGGGCAACTGCAAAGAAAATAACATTTGCATTATAAACTTTATTAACTCATTGTTTCAAATATTTTCAGAGTAACCTTTAGGAAGAGATGCTTTAAATACAAATTATAACATTAACAAGTTTCAAGAGAGACAAAGAATAATATAGTAAATATGGTAAAGTGGTAACATCGGAAAATGTGGGTGAAGGGTATACAGGAATTGACTGCACTATTTTTGCAACTTTTCTGTTAAGTCTGAAATGATTTCAAAATAAAATACTTTAAAGGACATAAAAAGACACTAATTGCCAAGAAATGGAAAGTAACCTCAGAAACCCCTAATCATGTTCTCCTCTCCCCTAAACCAAATTTATCACTAACACAAATGAATGTTAAATGCTGCTTTACTTTGCTGTTTAATCTCCACTACTTACATTTTAAAAGTCCTTGCTTTGCCTGCTTTTATATTTTATATGTAATTATATTAACACAATTTCTATAACCTCTTCCTTTAAACAGGTTCACAAATCTTCACTGTATACCCTATTTTGCAAACACTGTATACAGTGTCCTCCTACAGGTGGAAATTTGAGCTGCTTTGGTTATACAGATGCTACACAGTGTTGTACATGGCTTCTGGTGCACAAGTTTAAGAGTTTCCTGAGGGTAGGCAAGTAGTAGCAAAATTGCTAGATCACAGGGAATATATGCAGTTTCAACTTTACGAGTGATTCCAAATTGTTTTCCAAAGTGGTTGTATTAATTTACTCTCCCAACAGCGTAGATAAGTGAGTTCCTCTTGCTTGATATTCTTGCCAACACTGTACTGTCAGAATTTATTTTCTGCTAACAATTAAGAGTATAAAATGCCCTCACTCAGTGGTTGCTTTTTTTGTCTTTTTTTGTTTTCTGAGATGGAGTCTCGCTCTGTCGCCCAGGCTGGAGTGCAGTGGCGCTATCTCGGCTCACTGCAAGCTCTGCCTCCCGGGTTCATGTCATTCTCCTGCCTCAGTCTCCCAAGTAGCTGGGACTACAGGCGCCCGCCACCACGTCTGGCTAATTTTTTGTATTTTTAATAGAGACGGGGTTTTACCATGTTAGCCAGGATAGTCTCAATCTCCTGACCTCATGATCCGCCCATCTCAGCCTCCCAAAGTGCTGGGATTAAAGGCGTGAGCCACCACGTCTGGCAGCCGTTCAGTGGTTTTAACTTGCGCTGGACTCATGGAAGCCCCAGCTTTAAAAGGGGAGGGTGGGTGTCTTCCATTATACTTCAGTATGAACAGACAATGGAGAAGCAAAAATAAAACATAGTATGAATTTTTTTAAATGAAAAGCTTCACTTCAGTCAGTTCAGCAAATGCCCTAAAAGTGAAAGGCACATTCACAGAGTTCTACTTGCCTGTTTAGGTTCCCAACTCACCAATCCCTGGCCTGAACATTTCCTAATTTTGTCTACTTTCAAGTATGAGGTTGGTGCAAAAGTCATTGCGGTTTTTACCATTACTTTTAATGGAGCACAAACAACATTTTCTTTATACCTTATCCCATGTTTTCCACTGGGAAAATCGACCATATAGCAGGAAACACAAGTCCAGACAGAATTATTTTTCATCTTCCTCAAATGCTGAGAATAATGAGACAAAGGAAAACGAAGGAGAAGGAAAAGAGGAAAATGAATGTTGTTGTGCGTAGACCATAATCCTGGCACCGCTATTATCCGTAACATCAACAGGGCAACTCGGAGTCGTGTAGCCCAGAGGGTGAAGGGTGCCATTTGCGGTTGTCCAGTCCTTGAAATCCTGCCACAACTATGAAATGCAGCCAGATACACAGAAAACTGCTGGTAGGTCAGTGCCCAGAAAGCCCTACTTTACATAATCTGGAGTATTTTCTCAAAATATTGTAGTCAAATACTATCACAGTCATTTACTCAGTTATTAATTTATTTGGATAAATTCTGAGGGTACAGGAATATTACTGAAAAATAATGAAGTTTAATTTCCTCTGCTCCTTTAATTTAATAACATGCACAGTAACTATCTCCTGGCTTATAGAAGTTCAGAACACAGAAATATGCAGACTCTTGGGGGCCAGTGTTATTACCAGGAGGAAAGCTTCATGTACTCTATTTGACAAAGTTACTACTTAATTGATTGTTCTAAAATATTTATTTTACCTTTTTCTATTTCTTTAAAAGATTGCTTGGTTATTTTGGAGGTACTAACTCTATAATCATTTTCAATTAACTCTTCTTCTGTTTCCTGTTTCTTCAAATCATGGAAAGAATCCAGTTCATCATCTAGGCTTTAAAACAATAATTGTATCACAGCAATCTAGAAGTTTACTACAGCATTTTAAAAAGATAAAACTGCTTTTCAAACATTAACAGCATAACAACTGAGAAAAAATGCAAAAGCATTTTTTAAACTGCAAAATGTAAACATGTAAAAAGGAAAAATGTAAAAAGTAACAGTCACGGATCATTGATAACCCACTACAAGATATTTTTCTACACATTAAATAGATAATTTAAAATGACATGTACCTACCTGTGGTATACTCTACAGCTGAGGAACACTTTATTTTGACTCCCAATAATCTGTTGTTATTTATAAGGTAGTTTTAGCCAAAACAATGAATGTTTAACATAAGAAAACTAAACCTAAAGAAGTCAAGTAACTGATGGGTGACATAACAAGTAGAAAGTGGAGCAGAACTAGAATCCCAGGTGTTCTCTCCAAAAAGACAATCTGAGTTGAAATTTCTAGAATAGTATTGTTCAAAAGCAATATAACACAAGTCATATAGATAATTTAAAATGTTCTAGTAGCACATTAAAAAACAAATTTTAAAAATACTATTTAATATAGTATATCTAAAAGTTTATCATTTCAACATGTAATCAATGTTAAAAATTATTAAGCTACAACAGGCATGGTGGCTCATGCCTGTGATCTCAGCACTTTGGGAGGCTGAAGTGGGAGTATCTCTTGAGTCCAGGAGTTCAAGTTCAGCCTGGACAACACAGTGAGATTCCGTCTCTACAAAAAAAAATAAATTAAATAAAATAAATTAGCCAGGAGTAGTGGTACACATATGTAATCCCGGCTACTCAGGAGGCTGAGGTGAAAGGATCATTTGAGCACAGGAGTTGGAGGCTACAGTGAATTACAATTATGCCACTGCACTCACAGCCTGGGCAACAGAGCATGACCCCGCCCCCTGCAAATCCACATACACACACACACAAAATTAAGATATTTTATATTATTTTATCCATGCTTATTTATTTTTTGAGAGGGGGTCTCGCTCTGTCACCCAGGTTGTAGTGCAGTGGCACGATCTTGGCTCACTGCAACCTCCGCCTCCCGGGTCCAAGCAATTCTCCTGTCTCAGCCTCCCGAGTAGCTGGGACTACAGGCACCCGCCACCATGCCCTGCTAATTTTTGTTATCTATGCTAAGTCTTAGAAAGCCCGTGTGTATATGACAGTTACAGCGTATGTCAATTCAGACCAGCCCCATTTCAAGTACTCAATAGATACATGTGGCCTGTTGCTACTGTGCTGGACAGCATAGTTTCAGACCAGATCACAACTAGGGGTCCAATGTTATGAAAATCTTCATAGTCCAAAACCTTTAGATTATAGTTCAGAATTATACCCAGGTCATTATTTTAAAAATGATAAAACCCAGTTAAAAAGAAAATAATTTCCATGAATTTATTACCTTAAAAGCAATTTTCACTTTCCTTACCCTACATTCAACATAGCTCATGTCTAAATCCTAAATCTAGATCAACTAGATTTTGTGAATGCAAAATGAAACAGTAATAACAATAATGATAACAGCTAACATTTGAGTACTTATTATTTACCCAGAACTGTTCAGTGTATTACACAGATTTAACTTATTTAAGAAGAGAAACAGAAAACTGTATTAAAAAAAAGTCAAGCTCCCAAACACTACTTATGTTAGTAACATACAGATAATACTTTAGGTATAATTATTTTTTCTCTCCACGATTATCTCAACATTTCATTTTATATACATATACATCTTTATTTCAAAATGCTTACTCCTCCTTGATACCCATAGCATTTCTTTCTGCCACATATTTTTGGCATTAAATAATATCCAACTTAGATCTTTATTTTACCTTAGCTTCCACTGTTTTTTGTACTTTTTCCCCATAGTAAATAGTATCTTCCTTACAGAATGGCAACTTCTTTTAATCCAGCACTGTAGTTCCCATCTCCCCAGACTGCCTTCTTCAATCTCTCTCTTAACCACCTAAATACAATGTGTACCACACTACCAGACACACCAGAGATAGTAAAATGCTGCTGCCTAACAAAACTTGTATGGCAGGTTTTTTTGTAGTTACTTTTTTTTTTTCTTTCTTCAGGACAGAGTTTTGCTCTTGTCAACCAGGCTGGAGTGCAATGGCGCAATCTCAGCTCACTGCAACTTCCACCTCCTGGGTTCAAGCGATTCTCCTGCCTCAGCCTCTCAAGTAGCTGAGATTCCAGACACACACCACCACGCCCGGCTAATTTTTCTATTTTTAGTAGAAACGGGGTTTCACCATGTTGGCCAGAGTGGTCTCGAACTCCTGACCTCAGGTGAACCACCCGCCTCGGCCTCCCAAAGTGCTGGGATTACAGGTATGAGCCCCCGCACCTGGTCCATAGTTCCTTTTCTAAACATTTTTATTTAAAGAAAGGGAGCAGAGTCTGCATTTGGGTCCCGGATGAATAACCATAAAAATATTTTTTCATCTTTTACATTATATAAATAATTTTCCATTATGCTACACTAAACATAATGCTAGGTCTATGCTTTTATTACAGAGATCCTCAGTAAAAATTAGTAAGTGACTCGCTTCAACTATTTAGCAGGCTCCAGACTGCCTTATACTTGTTCTCAGGAAAGAGCAAAAATGTAACTTGCCCTTTTCGCTTTCTCAGTTTCTTGAGATACTGAGGGGGTATCAACAGTAAAGTTTCAGGGTACTTTACCAATTCACATTTACGCGCTTGAATAAGCTGCACAATGGTGTTCTACAATGCTTGCTTTCATCAGAATATTTTAATGATGAACCAACTTTATCTCCAGAGTAGATATCCAAATCACCTGTCAACGACAAATAAACCACGAAAGATTACCAGAACAATATATCACAAAATATCTGGCACTGGCCACAAGTCTAAATAATATTAGTTTTAAAATCTTCTCTCTCAAATTTTTTTTACTTTTCTGAGACTGAGTTTCGCTCTTGTTGCCCAAGCTGGAGTGCAGTGGCGCCATCTCAGCTCAGCGCAACCTCCGCCTCCCAGGTTCAACCGATTCTCCTGCCTCAGCCTTCCCAGCAGCTGGGATTACAAGCGCCCGCCACCAAGCTCGGCTAATTTTTTGTAATTTTAGTAGAGACGGGATTTCACCGTGTTGGCCTGGCTGGTCTCGAACTCCTGACCTCAGGCGATTCGCCTGTCTCGGCCTCCCAAAGTGCTGGGATTACAGACGTGAGCCACCGCACCCGGCCTCAAATTAAACTTTTGAAACTCCCAAATATACAAAATACTGGCTTACCTGGGGAGGTTAGAGTTCTTCTCTTACATTTAGACTGATCAAAATTTGAAAAATCATACTAAAAAAGAGAAAAGATATTTAATTTGTATCCTAAGACTCAATTTACTGTCTCAAAATATTTCCCTACAAATTATGTATTAATTACAAAGGTTAGAGTGGAGAAATCCTGTAGACACCATCTTAACCAAGTGATCAAAGTTAATATCATCAATAATGCGACAAACCAACATCATGTGCCTCCCCACAGCAGATCACACATCACTCATCTCATGCTCCCGCCAAAAATGCATAATCAATCTAACGAAGAGGCATCCATAAGATAAATCTAAATGGAGGAACATTCCAATAAATAATTCTTACACTTTTCAAAAAAACCAATCTTACAGAAAACAAAGGCTGTGAACCTGATCCAGGTTAAAGGCAACAAAAAGCACAATCAAATGCAATCAATGCTCGTTCTTGGATTGGATCTGCACTAAGAAAAAATTTTTCCTATAAAAGGCATTATCGAGATAATTGTTGAAATTTCATATGAACTCAAGATTGCCAAATATATCAATTGTAAATTTCCTGAAAATATTACTGTGGTTATTAAAAGAGAACGTCCTTATGCTTAGGAAAAGCACACAAGTTCTTTCTATCTAGAGGTAAAGGGGCATGATGACTGCAAATTACCCTCAAATAGTTCAAAGGGAAAAAACGCGTGTAGGGAAAGAAGGCGAGAAAACGAATGGTAAAGCAAATGTGGCAAAATATTAATTTGTGAATGCAAGTGAGGGTACAAGGGAATTATTGGTACTACGGCAGCAACTTTTGAGTAAGTCTGAAATTATTTCGAAAAAAGCCGCTTTTAAAAAGCAATTCAGCTGTTTTCTCAACTCCACTCACATCACTGCAAAAATAAAAAAGCTGAATAATACTTTCTCTAACATCACACCATGCCCCGTATACCATGAACACAGAGGCATAGGTGAAGTGGCGACCCCGCGCCCCTGCACCGCAACGCCCGCCCCTCCCGCCCGCTTCCACGAGGCCCGAGCCGCAGCCACCGCGGGAGTGCCGGGGCCGGGACCAGAGCCGCTGCGCGCCCCCAGGCCGGCTGGGCGGAGCACGGGGTGAGCTGCTCCGCAGCAGCAAGAGTCCACCCGCGGACCTCGGAGCGGCGGCTTCACCTCGTCCGGGCAGCTGCCCCCGAGTCCGTAGCGGCTTTTGAGACGCTCCACTGCTAAATCCTGCCCCGGAGGCTTGACGACCCTCGGCTCCATAGTACACCGCAACCGCAGCCGTCTCCCCGGGAACCGCGTTCATCAAACCCGCGGCGCAACGCGGCCGCGGTGCGTCACGACGTGCAAGGCCCCGCCCCCAGAGGCACGCAGGGCCGCAGGGAAAGGGCGGGGCAGAACTGGAGAACCCGGAGAAAACAGCCAGGCTTGACCGCGCGTCCTCCAGGTCTCTCGTGCTATGGCTGCAGACCTCATAACTTCAGTAGTATTGCATCTCCCCGCGCTAGTGCCGCCCCGGCCGCCTGGGTACCACGGGTGGAGGAGCACCGAGGCCCCACACCTGCCTGCAGCGCTCCGCTTCAGCTCCATTTAACCTGTAAGTTTAGTGTGCGTTTGCGCTCACCATAGACCTGTCGCTCCATCAGAAGTGGCCTTTCCTAACTGCCATATAAAAGAAAAACCAAGACTATATCTGAGCCAGGAGTGGTGGTGCGCGTGTAATCCTGGCTGCTTAGGGAGCCTGGGAGTTACATCTACTCTGGGTAACATAACAAGACTCTCATCTCCTAAAAGAAAAAAAAAAAAAAAGGAAAGCTGAGCATAGAAATTGCAGATTACCTCACTTTTCCTGTGTTCCATATGGGGTATAACCAGGTATTAAAAAGAATAATTAGAATGTAAGCTCCTTGAAAACAAACTTTTTTTGAAAAGAAAAAAGCTTTTGCCAGTACCCACAACAGTGCTAGCCATAGTATACATCAACCTGAAAACCTGTTAAACAAAACTGAGGGGAACTGTACAACCACTTCATTTCTCATTCATACAATTACAGTGGTGTAATATTTTACTTTTCTAAGTTATGACTGTCAGCTGCATCTCTGGACTAATAACTCCTAAAGTTTCTGGATTAAAGTTCCCAAATGCCCAAGTTTTATAAAATCTATATACTTAAGCAGTTATTATCTGAAAATTACTTAAGCCATACTTTTTGCCATAAAGTACCACTTAAGATGTACAAATAATGAATTACTTTATTCTATCTTTAAGCAGATTTCAATGAGACAATATAAAATCCAGTTTAAAAGGAAAGATACATATCATTGTGGGTTGAGACCACATCAGTGATTAAATAACAAAATCAAAGTCCTTTCCTGAAATGTGACACAAAGACTTTCTCATAAATGCCACAAGCCACTGTTAAGCATCTTTGGAATACTAATACTAGAAAAGTCAGTTTACATGTCATTTTGTCAAATTTTTGGTCAAAGTTTAAAGCTTTTTAATTTGTAACTTTAATGCTTTAGGAAAGCATAGAAATCTGTAAAAAGTCTCTTAAAACGCACTTGCATTGTTAAGAATTTATTCTAAAATCATGACGAAGGCATCAGCTGTCTCAGCTGAAAAGTTACAACACACTTTACATCAGTTTATATTACACAGATTTCCAAATAAGCCAATTTGAAATATTTAGTGTAAACATATGTAATCCATGGTTCTTGAGTAGGTTTATTTCAGGTATCTGGCTTTGTGGCTGAGTGGAATGGTGATGGTATACCATCACTCATTACTCGCACAACATCCCTCCCCTCTTTTTGAACAGTTACTTGCTTTAGGATACCCAATTTCCAAATCCCCATATAACAGGGAATAAACCTGTCTTTCCTCACTAAATAAAATGAGGTAATTTCACCAGAAAGAATGTGTTCTTTGGGTGGAAGAGAGTCAGTATTCATAATTGCAATATACAGAATTTTGTGTTCTACCTGGATTCTTTGTAGTTCCATATCGAGTAGGCCAATAAGAACATCCTCTTTTCTTTAGCAATTTGCCTAACATTTGATACAAGCCATTTCCAAATACATTTTCAGTGTATATCAAACTTGAGAAACTAGCTCTGGAAGTTAGGCGGCAGTTTGAATTTACTGCCTCTGAATTGTCTTCCTTTAGAATAACCAGAAGCACAAGTAATGAATTTTTTGAATGTCAGTGGCTCTTATGAATTGTCATTTTATTTCTGCTATAAAATTTACCAGAAAAGGGTACTGCAACAATCCTGTATAAAGCAAATCTTTAACCAAATAACATGGCATAGACTTTCTAAAAATATTCATACTTTATCACAGTAACTACAAGGAAAAATTCAATTTCTATCATCAGAACCAAGCTGCAGTTTCTGAGGTAGTAGAGACAGATGACAGAAAAGTTTAAAACAAAACCCCTAAAGGAAATAGTCAACTTGTTTAAAATGTAAAAATTAATTGAATACCTATGAAAGAGCACAGGAAGCTAGATATTTTAAGGAAGGAAGGTACACTACTTACAAAGTTAACTTGTAACCACACAGGAGGTGTAAAGATTCTAGAGAAGAGCACTTTGGTTAACTCTGTACGTTCTGTGGCTCTACCCATTCATAAATGAGTCTCTATGCATAAATGAGTACACCAATAGTTAAGATTACCAAATATATTTCAAATCTAAAGTAAAATTATCCAAATTGTGGTCCCTTTATTCAAATGGTAAGTATATCCATGCAGGAAGTCCAAATATCTTAAAAGGAATTAAAATTAAATTGCATATATCATATTCCTTCAATAGTTTGAGGTCTATTGCTTTTAACAAGATCAGTATTATTCCATTTTAATACAAATATGTCAGGAGTACATAAACACAAGTACACCTGAAATACACCAGTGTTTAAACTTTTATTTCACACCATGCAAGGTCAATTATAACATATTAAAAAGTGACAACAGCTATAAGCTGCAATTTTACATCTGTACATCAGAAACGTCCATTTTCAAAAGCTGAACATAATTATCAAATTGTAATAACTAAGCTTCAATTCAGCTGCTTATACAGATAAAATTTTCTATGAAACACAATGATTTTATATCTGTCCACATTCTGTGATAGTTATTCTTCGACAAACAGACCCTTTGGGAGAACCAAATGATTCAATCTTTTTCACAGTATCCATGCCATCCTTAACAAACCCAAATACTACATGCTTAAAGTCCAAATGTTCTGCTTTTTTCAGTGTTATAAAAAATTGAGAATTATTGGTATTCTGGCCTTGATTGGCCATGGATAGTAAACCAGGACCAGTATGTTTCACATCAAAATTTTCATCTTCAAATTTATCTCCATAAATGGACTGTCCGCCTGTTCCATCATGTTTGGTGATATCTCCTCCCTGAAAAAAAATGTGTAACAAAAGTTTAAAAAATTTTTTCAATTAACAGGAATCCTGAGTAAAATACTAAAATACACACAGAACTCATCGCTACAGGATAAATCCTAAAGCCCAGCTTTCCTGAGTATAATTTGAAACTTAAGAAATTCATATTGTTGGAAAGAAGATGAAAAATGAAAAGGTTTTTCCCATCCCGTACTGAAAAATTTAACTTTTTTTTTTTTTTAATTTTTTTTTTTTAGACAGGCTGTCTCACTCTGTCGCCCAGGATGGAGTGCAGTGACGCAAACCTAGCTCACTGCAGCCTTGGCTTCCTGGATGCTCCCACCTCAGCCACCATGTAGCTGGGACCACAGACGGGACACCATCACGCCTAATTTCTGTATTTTTTGTCCAGATGAGATTTTTGCCACATTGCCCAGGCTGGTCTCAAATTCTGGGGCTCAAGCAATCTGCCTGCCTTGGCCTCCTAAAGTGCTGGAATTACAGGTGTGAGTCATTGTGCCCAGCCTAAATTATTTTAGCGTGAAAGTTTTAGGCAGGAGCAGGGAATGGATAGTGATGCCATGTGATTCCATGTGTGGAAAACCTAAAGAAATCTTAAACAAAACTACAGGATGAGGTCCAGGAAAAACACCCAAATTTCCCACTGGTGTGGTGCACTCTTTAAGACCTCAATTGCGGTATGTACTTAATAATACCTACTTGGCAAACAAAATCCGGAATTACTCTGTGAAAAATGGAATTCTTGAAACCAAAGCCTTTCTCTCCAGTGCACAGTGCTCTGAAGTTCTCAGCAGTCCGAGGAACAATGTTCGAAAATAACTCCATAGTTATCCGCCCTAGAGGTTCACCGTCCGCACAAACATCAAAAAACACCACAGGATTGGTCTCCTTTGATAATTCTGCTGCATGTCCTTTCTGGAGTTGCAATAAATTCTGCTGACATTCTTCAAATGTTTTCTTGAAACAATCAGCTACTTCTTTAGTTTTAAATCTCACTGCAAGCTGTTCTACTTTTGCTTCTCCATCTATTAAGGAGGGAAAGGGGAAGGAGTGACCTTAGTGTTAAAATAACTGTTATAAGTTGTTTTGTTATAGATTTTAGAAAAGTCCAAAAAATGGAAAGTACATTTGAATGTAAAAACTCACCAGCATAATCTGAGGCAGTCCAAACTAAAGCATTATTTGAAACATTTAAGGGTTTTAATTCCATTGTTTTAGTAATAACGTGGTTTGCACACACTTTAAAAACCTGGTCTCTTCTCATAAGGATCCGGTAATAGTTCTTCATTGTATGCCAAAGAATCTTTATATCTCCAACACCACGTTCCTTCCACTGACTGACATCCCGATCCCATCTATAAAGTTTGGCTCTCTCTTTAAACAAAATTTCTTCATCTTCTTCTCCAGATTTTACTTCTACCTATAATAGGAGATGAAATACTCTATAAGCTGCTGCTTATAATAAATTCCATGACAAATTTCAAAGATCCAAATTCTTTTAAGGCATTTTCTTTGTGATGACAAAGAGAATTTGTTAATATAATAATTGGTTATATATCTTAGGGCTAGGAATACATCTGATGTGGCTGAGGGAGTAAAGACCTGATTTGTCATTAAATATTTTCTTTTATATAGTATTCATTTTCCCTTTGGAAATTAAATGCTTTTCTTTATAGGAACAGAGGTTTCAAAAGTGTCTGCTACTGAAGAGAAATATATAAGATACTGAGGTTAAAAATGACAAAATAATTTTCCTAGAACAATGTTCTTGTCCAAAAAACACAGATTAATGTTTATTGAAAGGACTTTCGTGAGTATGAGGTTAATTTTCCCCCAGAATCATGTTATAAAAACAAACATGATATTCTAGAAACATACGAAAAAATTATTTCTTCCCAACAATTACATATAGAATT